TACTTTATGGAAGTTATTGGGTAAAAATTTGTTCACAGCAGCCAGTAATTCATGGTTGATGGCCCAAATACCTGCGTCTCTGAAGGTCCGATGTATCAACATGATTCACAGGCTGTCAGTCAGACGAGGTTCATGCCTGTGAATTGAATAGCACGTTTCATGTGCACGATGTCACCAAGGCCATCTAAAATATGATGTGTGTGGATTGCTGCCCTTCGTTGTTTGCTCATCTCATTCTTTTATATAAATGTAATGATGAGTTGTAACACAAAGTATTACCCACTTTTCTGTATGCAGTAAAGTCCTAATGGACGTTCACCATTGCTCATTTGCGTTCGTTTGTGGGCCGAAAAGCCACAATAAACAAGCACCTCTTGGGGGAAACAGGTTTTGACTGTAACTGTCACACCAGGAACTCCTACGTGCGTCCGGTTTACCTACAGGAAGTATTTTCTGACCAACAATGTTGGTACCATGTTGTTTTCTTCAAAGCAGCAGGAAAAAACTCGTGCTTTCATTATTTCTGAACTGTAGGAATGCTTTTGGCAGCTTCATTAGCAGTTTTTAGTTACAGACCCTCACCCATAGGCACAGCGGGTAATGTTTGATAAAAGTATCTTACGACTGTGTTGCAAACCGCACTTAACTAATGTCTGCCTGGCCGAAAGACCTCAGTACTGCCGAATGGAAAACATTTTTTCAGTTCTGTAAGTCCGCGACTTATCTATTTCGGGCTTTGTCTAACTGCTGAACCTGCGACTGGTCCCGAAACCTAGGTGGAACTGCAAACCGGGTTGGGTGGTCCCAGGAATGCTGCTTTTTCTGAATGCTTGAAAATAGCAACGAAACAGTAAAAAATTGCCATAACGTGGTGACAGCTGTCTTACAAGGCTCAATTAAGATAACCCACTGAGGATTACCTTCCTGAATAAATTTAGTTAGTAGCTACCTTTTGGTAATATAGGTCCTTACAGTGACACCGATGGAAACAGTTGATTCTTTAAGTGATACTCACAAAATCTGTAGTCTATGATTTCTTCTCCAGTGGATTTGCCGTGTCCCTGCCATGCTCGCTGGTCTTCTGTAGGAGTGCTGCTTCACGGTTGGCTAGCTTTGTCCACATGTCGGGTGGAATCTGCAGGAGTGTCTTAGTCGGTTTTATGGTCCAAAAGCACTTTATATTCTGCAATACCTCCAATCTTGGCCGTACCGTCAGACCTCCAAACACAGTGTTTGTCATCTTTCAAAACCCAGGTAGGATACATAGAAAATATGGCACTGTTTCTTTCACAACTCTTGGTCCAGCAAGAACCGGGCTCTATGAATTAACATCTAAATTGCATGTATGATCCAAACAACATTGAGTCCATTGGATATGATGACGGACAACTTCTACGGAAGCTTCCTGCGTTTATGAGCGAGAAACTCAAAGGCTCACATGAAAACTGTATCACTAAAGTGGAAACGAGAAGTCATCAGACGTATGACAAAGGAGTTTACGGTGACTTTGAGGTAAAGAAGAGTGGAAAACTAAACCATGGGTTTTGGTAGGACAGTACCATGGAATACTCATAGTTTTCCACGCCTCATCTTTTCAATCATCTTCACTCGGCCTATTACCCTCCACCCACCAGAATATTGATTTTTCTTCCAATCCAATCTCTATCCGCAGGTGAAAAATTATTCCGATTTAACACGGACTTTGTCGTCTTGAAATATTTTTATATGCCTGCGCATTAGATTAGTGTCGTCGTCTTTAGTTTTCTTTACGAAAAAAGCAAGTTATGTCAAAACAAGTTGATATTTTGAACAGTTCAAACTGTCCCACGAATTATACATCTGAAATTCTTGATGGTTTTTGTGGAGAAAATGCAGTTCATTTGAAGGTAGCTTGAAATGGCACTTAGGTTCTGTTGTACATTTTCTAACTTGTTTCTGCTTTGGGTTCTCGTCTCGTGACTCTAACCAATATCTTCACAATTCCTTGAACCAGGCCATCATGACCACGGCAACATGAACTTTTGGACATAAGGGAGAGATAAAATCACGCTTAGTCAGGTGACACGACCAATATCGACCTTTATTCAAGATAATCCCGGCGGATTTTACAATAGAATCACAGCTGATATTGATTTTTTTTACTGAGCAACTATTACACAGATCGACTTCTGGTTATAGCTTCGCGCTACAATCTAACTCACGAGATGTCATCATAAAAAATTAACGAAAATAAGATCACCCGTTTACCATTGTTGACAAACTGATTTTGAAGGAAATTGAGTGACTGGAATGTTCATGGCTAACATTTTATATGAAGTCCTGTGTTCCGATCGCCAGCGGTGGTCTGTTCCAAGAAAGGAGGCCATCTTGACTGGTGAAAATGTGGACTGTTCCATCTAATAACCCCTTTTTGTAAATTCCTGCAATTCATCCTACTTCACCAGCCATGTTTATGTAATAGCTGTATTCAAAAGCATATTTATACTCACTTGATAATTCAACAAGTAATCTCTTTAGGATGTCAGAAGAGCTACTCACAAGCCTAGAAATAAACTGCACAAGTCATTTACATTTTAGCGTGGAGCACGACTGACGTGTCTATATATTGTATCTTTTCCTACCAACTCTTAGAAGAACTATGACAAATGTTCGAGTGCACTGATGATGTTTTGCGAGAAATCCCGAACTGTTTATGGTTACTGCTACGTTCTTCAAGTAGGATTTCAAAAAAGGAGTCCATTAAAAGTTGCCTTTTCTCCATTAGCAGAACAACTTTGGTTGTGTTGCTTTCTAATATCTTTTGTGCCTAGAACCAGGGACTGTAACCAGGAATGATCAACGTTCTATCCACACGTAGTCGTTCAACATCTGTGTGGATGACACAGCTACTGAAGGAAGTGTGATATTGTCGTAACACCGACGTAGAAAGCAGACCTGCAATCACTCATGACGTTCTGGTCGATTATGCTCAGGGAAAAATTAGCCCCTTTTATTTTAGCTAGTTGACGAATGAAGTTCAGGACCATAAAAAGAACTCTCAAAAGCCAGTGATTTGGTTTATGGTTATGCGATAGTCTGTGACATTTCTGTGTTTTACGTGAGGTTTCGCGAGTACCAACATTCACACTGTGAAAAGTTCGACTCGCGGAAATTTCATCCAAAAGGTGTTTCTTACATAAAGCTACTGTCGTGCCCACAGCGAAAAATAAACGGGAATTTCAGGAACCATTCTGTTCTCTGAGGTTAGTCTCAGAGGAGAAGGAAGTTCGTGTAATATCTTTAAAGAACCTGAGCTACATACCATCAGTGACCGGGGATGAAGATATCCGCAACTAAAGACATTCACATGTCCGCAAAATCTGAACAATGGATTGAACTGGGGGAACGTTTTTTTGAAACAAGCGAAAAGTGAAGAACAGAAGGAGCTAAAGGGTGTGTAGGAAGAACACAAGTGATGATTTATTCCATTGTTTTGGCATTTTGTCCCTTGGAGTGGTTAACTTGACTTACTTGTTACCTGGCACCATGGTGGAGTTTTCACCACTAAAAATTTGAGAGAAAGAGATGTTCTCCGCTAGAGATGAGGCACTGTTATCTCGGATGGATGAAGATGCTGTTCCTGGTTGCGCCTACTTGGTTTTAAAGATTTAAAGAGTCAACCCTTTTCTACTGTAGAGTCTGTGAACCCAGACATATTAGCACACCCAGGAAAATGCTGACGGATGGCATCGTTATCACAAATCTGCGGTGAAATTACTTTTAGAACCCCGTACCAGTTTGAGAACATAAACAGCCACAAAAGATAATATGAGTACGGAGGTCAGCCTATTATGTGCAAAATGTTTTGACCCTGCATAGTAGGCAATTAGGCTCCATCACCAGCTGCTGATTACTCCGATTGGTTGAGGCAGACTACTAACAGATTACGAGTAGTGTTCTCACCCAACATCATTCACAAGCTACTTACATGAAGAAAGAGTTCTACTTGACTATTCCCATTTTAGTGGTTCTCAGTGATCCGCTTACTGGTCTCGGAGTTCTCTCGGACGAATGGAATCCGCTTAGTGGAAACCACATTACTAGGAAACGTACGTCTATCGTTATTATAAACGTTGCTTTTGTCACAGGTAATTACATGAAAAATTATTTACTGGTAGTTTACACAAACGAATATAGTAATGGTAACGTACAAACTATTTACCCAGGGCTGTGTTTAATCCAATAAAAATACTTTCAAACTTGCAAATTACTGAGGTTATTTTTAGTCTACCAGTAGAACACTGTCTAACGAGGCCTACCAAGCCGACACAGACCAATGAATGGTACTGCGTACAATTCACGGTTTTCCGCTATTGGGCTTGGAACCTTAGCTGGAAGCATTTCAGAAGATACTGTACACCCCTAGAAAACTGGCCACTTTACCTATTTGTCGAACTGAGACTGTTATGTCTATGTAGGAAGTCAGGGAGTGCTAACTGTTGTAGCTATGTCCGATAAGACTAGCGTCAGGAAAGATCGGTCGTTGTGTTTCTGTAGGTTAGGTCTTTATAGTCCCCATATTACTTTACTGGCCGCCCAGCCTATAGGGCTATGCAGGCTCAATGAATTTAGAATAGGGAATCAAATGGAACGTCAGACCGGCTACCAAGACTATCATACTCAACCAAAAATCTGGTCACTTTTTTCGAGCAAATGACACGATCATCAGTATGTTGAATAGCATGAAATTCTCACTTTTGTATTTTACCCAAAACACTGTCAATTAATACTATCTATGGAAACAAAAGTAACAGAAATGGTCTTATGAGATATCTAGTAGACTAGGTTTACAACCGTTGGTGACTGTGAGACGTACCCATGTGACATGTGAATGAATCATGCACCTAACCTACACAAGTATGCACAAGAATGGATGTAACGTCTATTATTTGACTGGCAGAGAAATTTTACGCTACCGCTGGTCAAGAGCAGTCATTACTTGTTTTATCGATCATCAGCTACAGTCACACTACCAAGGATTGTTGTTTCTAGGCTGTGTGCTATGTGCTCAGTCACATATGCTTAGTAATATTGTCTACATAAGATTAGTTCACAACCTCGGTGTCGTTTTCATTCAAACCATGGAATAATTGTTTTCTGTTATTTTGCCGAATGACCCGTGGTTTCATATCTCTATCTGCTCGGTAGCTCTTGTTCAGCGAGATTTGATCAAATTAGACGGAGACCGTGGACAAGAATACAACTGTTTGTACACCACCAAGGAGCTGACTTGCAGACCGCGTGAGAGTAAGTATTCGCTTAATGGTTTAAAAATGACTTTTGTTCATTGGCCGATGGTCCGGCTGTGTGAAACTGTTTCAGCTCTTTTTTAAGGTCACTGTTTACTAGGACAGTTATGATTCTGATTTGGAGCACGAAGTTTCATTAAGAACAATTTGTTCGTTTCACCATTCTTAACTACCTTTGCCCTGGTGATAGTGGAAACTGGTTTACAGATTTCCAAACCAACTTCTTTCTGAAACAATTCTTTGGGTTGTAATTGAACCTAGCTGAATGTATTTGTCTCGAATAATATCTACGAAGAGATCAAAGTGACAGCGGAGGCAAACCGAACAAGCGATCATAACAGAAAGCCCTGAGCTTCAATATGGTTAACTGGAAATAAGCTCGCCGTCATACAGCCCCCTGTGGAGTATTACTGATTTGTAAGCGTTCAACCAGCTTGAAAGTCTAAAGCAACATACGAGTAACAATCACCTGGTCCTTGAATCAGACACATGGTTCCCAGACAACAGTTAAGCAATACCGAGCTTGGTAAGTTCGAATAACTGCAAGACAAGCCTCGACACCAGATATGTTGAGCATATTCAGAAATTTCTCACCATTCTAACCTAGTGTAAATCGAAGAAAAAGCACGGATTTGAAAATTCTGCTGAGACACGAGCAACAGTCTCAGAGGCTTTGGTGAATAAGTGCCCCAAAGTCGTTGCTGAAAATCAGGTCAGATCCATTTAGTCATATTTTAATGTGCGAAGGGTACAGCAATTCATAAAACACACGCAACATTGAAACTTTGAAACGATAAGAGGAATTTTTCCCAGTGTGCAGTAAAGAATAAACTGGGCAATGTAACGATGAGAAAACTTTGCTTTGGACGAATGACCGTTGGCATGAGTCGCAGAGTTGAAAACTATATTTTGTTACCGAAATTTGCGTTGGTTTTAGCGTGATGGTTTGGGATGCAACTGTGAGCATCATAACTGTCACCGATTCCAAAATGCAAATAGGTAACAGAATAGGGCGCCGAAACGTTGAACGACTCCGGAAACCTATTTAATTTTATAATCTTATAACACGTTGATATGGTAATATACAACCAGTTTCACCAAAATGCAAAAGACGGTTTTTCCACCAAGTTTCACATTTAAACCTGAGACCCTCTAGCTTTGCCCGTTTACGTGAACAGCTACGGTGAATGTACTGAGTTAGACAGTCCTGTTGGATTTTCAACGTCATTCCTTGCATTACACTTGATTAACCATAAGAATTCTTTTCGTGCATGTATGGAACAGTTTACTGGTCTAAACCCTGCTG